GTTTGGTTCAGTAGATTCAACAGTTTATATCTTACAGAGTGTGTAAAAGTACTTTTGTGAACAGTTTCAAGACTTTTACTTGAGTAGTTTTCTAATCAGTGAAACTTATTTTTACCAAAGTCATTTTCTGTTCATGTAATTTTACTTTTACTTAGTTATTTTTTGCAAGTACTTCWTAGAACTCTGGACAAAACCATGATAAAAAACTGACTTCATTAAACAACTTGGTTCCCGTAGGTACAAGTTAATGTCTGGTGCCACCAGTCTGTAGTGTCTGATATTATAAATAAAGCCCCCACCACTGGAACGAAGCATGAAAAGTTTGTGGCCCCCTCCTGCCCTCCCCTCGGCCAGACTAGACGTAGTTAGATGTAGTCTGTGTACCATCGCAGATGCACTTAAAATACCTTTGAATATAATGTAGATTAATACTACATAACACGTGTCAAATTCCAGGTCTGCCAAAAGCTCATGTGGTCCTCAGTGAAAATGAATTTGACATCCCACAACAGACTTGATTTAATTTTTTTTTTGTTTTGTTTTTAGGTTTGTTTTTTCAAAAAAATCTTCAATAATCAGGTCTACTTGTCGATCAGCTCGGCTTTCTGTCCTGCAGGCTGAAGCTCTGAGATCAGTTTTCTGTTGGGACAGATATTAAACTTAAACTGAATGTGTTCATGGCTGAAAGTCAGAAACAACTTCCTGCACAACATCAGATTATACACATTATTATCAAGGTTCGACTGAAACACTTATTCCTCCATCATTTCACATCAGATTATTTTAGATTAGCTCTGGGTTGAAACTCAAATTCAACTTTCAAACACAACTGAGGTGTATAACAAAGATTAGTTTTCTTTTCCAGCAGGTACAAACTTCAGACTTTTTAAACACAACATATCCAGTTTGAGTTTCTTCCTGCCACAGTTTCCAGATCCTGCAAACATGTCTTGGGAATGCAGTGAGTGCTCTGCTCGAGTAAATAGTCTTCATCACACAAATGAACAAACGGACACACTTGTATTTTCTCATCATGTTCAGAGGTGTTGCTCAACGGTTACATCTTCTGTTCATGTGTGTTACTGCAACACGCTGTTTTCATCTGCTGCTGGAAGCATGAGCAAGAGTGAAACTTCAGGTCTACCATTGGTGGGATCTGCTCTCTGCCTATTTATTTATTGAATTTTTTACTGAACGATTCAGGATATTTRGGGGTTAAAATACATTGTAATGCTTTTGCTATGATTTACACAACTTTCCTGTTTTGTTTTTTACATCAGTTCAACAATTAAGAAAATACTTACTTTGTTCCACCATTTTTTCCAACAGTAACCAATATTTGACATTTTTGGATGTATTATACGACATAGCCACATTTCTAAATTTCTAAAAGTACGTATTTACCTGGTGCACAACTAATGCTTGTGTCTAGGACACACTTAAGCCGTAATGTGACAAAAACAGACTAAAACCCTGYAGGTTATTTTCAGCTTTTCTGCTTAAACATACTGAAAGGGTTTTTCTTTATTACATTTCATTAAAGTTCATTGTGTGTGTATCAAATAAAGTTTTTAGTACGTTACAAATGTTTAGTTCAAAATGTGTTTTCTACAGGAACATGATGAGCCAGCCGGATGGGAACTGCACTCAAGGCCAGTTTCTGTAAGATAATGTTRAATCTAGCTGCCAAGAAACTGCTTATGAGCAGTTTCTGTAAGATTAGGTTAAAATTAATTGCCGAAACCGTCATTTCTCCACATTCCTGTAAGTTTCCACGTTCAAGGGTAAAAAACAAGTATTCATTGTTCCTTTAAAGATATCGTAACCCCAGCAACAGCGTTTTCATTGGCTTCTGTGTTTTGTGATATCTCCAACAAATGATGTTGATTCGTTGTTTTACTTGTGATGCCACCTTTACGTATTTTAATAAAAGACTGATCACGCCCACAGAGGTCAGAATTTCTCTGGACTTGCTGAGCCTTGAGCAAAGTTAAGTAACGAGAACTTCTCCTCTTTGCAAAGTGAATCTTCTAAAATCTCACTTGCCTCTGTTGTCATTGATTTAATGTTCGGGGGGTTGCTGTGTTTCTCTGAGTTCTAGGTTAAAAAAAACCGAACACATACATAATATGTATGTGTGAAATCATAAATTTTGAAATCAAGTTAAATTTACCTAAAGACAACAAGAGTTGCAGCTGTGTACTTAACCAGTTCATTTTTATTGGCTTATAGAGCAAATGGTGTTTTATTGTGGGGGGTGGGGGGGTCTATGAATAAACCTCTGAAATACATTTCTAGGGTTTTAAAACCTCCTAAACTGGGCAGGTGGAGGAGGGTCTGGAGAGAGCAGCAGGACCAAGAGTTCAAGAGGACATGCAGGTGGACTTCCCAGGACTGAAGTCCTGTGAGAACAGGAGCAGGGACAGATGGGGGGTCTGACTGGACCCTCTGGATGAGTGGAACAGAAGAAGCAAAGAAGACTGAGGAGACCCAGAGGCAGGAACCCCCTGGACGGTTCAGCAGTCCATYCCAGACTGTTTCAATAAAGAAACGAGATTCTGTCGACACTTTTTAAAGATTTTTATCTGTTATTATCCTAGTTGTTAGAAACCATCAGACCAGGTTAAACACAAAACAGAAACATTAATATCCAGAATATTTGTAAAAACATAGAACTTATTCAACATTTGTTTAAAAAGGTGCTTATAGGGAGCCCCCCCCCCGTGCCACACACACACACACACAGAGACTTACATTTTCTATTTAAAACATTTTTACCTTTAGATTTCAAATGTTAGCATCCCCCCCAGAAAATAAAGCTTTATTAACCATAAACTTTGTAAATAAACAGAATGTTATAAGCATTTCTTTTAAAGTGTTTGCTTATGTAAGGGAGGTTTCCTCTGTTGATGACCTGCAGGTAAAAAAAATCTGAATAAATATTAAAACATTTTGTAAAAACAAAACGTTTRTTCATGATTTCTAGTAAAAATAATCCTCATGTTTAAGTGCCAGCACAGCCCACCCCCAGCAAAACAACACAACAGATCCATTTAGTTTTAGTGTGGGGGTCTTCAGGTTGATCCAGGTCTTCAGATCCGGCTCCTGTCCAAGATGCTAAATGTGCAGCTCTCCCTGCAGCAGACGCTCCAGCAGGTCATGGCACCTGTGAGGTTTTAGAAAACGTTCCTCTCCAGCTTTTAGTTCCTGTCATGATCTGTTCCTTYAGTTCAGGTCAAAGAAACCTTCAGTCTGGATCAACAGGACCTGGTGCCAGATGSTACAAGGTACTAAGACAGCCTCACCAGATGCTCCGGCTGCCTCAGGCTCTGCTCGCCCTGCCAGGGGCAAAATCCAACCTTTATGGTTAAAAAACAAATTATCTACAAAGCAGCTGTAGCAAGACACTACAAAGGCACAGTAAACCTGGCCAGAGGTTCAGGTGTTTAAAACCTGTGGAAAACTCCAGTTGTAGGAAGGGCCTCTCAGATTCCCAGAAGCCCACGGTGCTGCCATCATCAGGTCAATGGAGACAACAATTAGGGGACCAAATATTTGAGTTAGTGCTTTATGGTTAGTGCAATTAATATTTATATTAGTGTTGCCCATCACTGATAAGGGCTAATAAGAGGTTGTTACTTTCCAGAGAGAAGTTCTTTCCACTGTGGGACGATGTTGTGTCTCCAGTCTATATTCTCACCACTAGGTGTCACTGTGGCACAGTGTTGGCTGTGACATCCTGGGACAGAGGAAAGTCTGATCTACTCCAAGTTGGATCAAAAAGTCAACCGTTCCATTGTAATTCATCAGATTGTTGTTTTGTTTTTATCATTTTCAGTAATCAAACTGAATGAACTGAAACCACCTGGGAGGAACACAGTAACACATTTTACACATTACAATTGACTGATACTGGTAGTATACAGCTGTGCATGCACTCTCAGCTCTAACAGAGGTTTGAACTTTCTAATTAGATACATTTAAAGTCAGAGAAAGTACTTTATTTGCTCATCAACACTAGTTTTAAAGACTTAGGTTTTTCTTCTTTAAAGGGTCAAATCATTCACGTGAAGTGAAACATTCAGGTTAAATGTTTATAA